TAAAATTCGACGATCGTCAAAAGTACCGATAATTTGGCTCTCTCGGGGGATTTTTTTCTTTTCGATCGAGGAGATTTCGAGTGTTTAATCTTTGGAATTTTTAGCATTTGAATCGGAGGAGAGGAAGAATGATTTTGAGATATTTTCGATTAAGGAATACGAAATTTTTAGAATTTAAGTTGAGGTTAGGTGCACCAAAAATTTGGCTCTCTCAGGGTATTTCCCTTTTTTTTTTTTGTATTGAGGAGATTTAGAGTGTTTAATCTTTGGAATTTTGAACATTTGAATCGGAGGAGAGGAAGAATGATTTTGAGCTATTCTCGATTACGAAATGTGAAATTTTTGGAATTTAAGTTGAGGTTAGGTGCACTGAAAATTTGGCTCTTTCGGGGTATTTTCCTTTTTTTTTTTTTTTATGAAGTAGATTTAGAGTGTTTCATAATGGGAATTTTTAGCATTTGAATGAAGGGAGAGGAAGAATGATTTTGAGATATTCTCGATTATGAAATGTGAAATTTTTGGAATTTAAGTTGAGGTTAGGTGCACCGAAAATTTGGCTCTTTCGGGGTATTTTCCTTTTTTTTTTTTATGAAGTAGATTTAGAGTGTTTCATAATGGGAATTTTTAGCATTTGAATGAAGGGAGAGGAAGAATGATTTTGAGATATTCTCGATTATGAAATGTGAAATTTTTGGAATTTAAGTTGAGGTTAGGTGCACCGAAAATTTGGCTCTTTCGGGGTATTTTCCTTTTTTTTTTTTATGAAGTAGATTTAGAGTGTTTCATAATGGGAATTTTTAGCATTTGAATGAAGGGAGAGGAAGAATGATTTTGAGATATTCTCGATTATGAAATGTGAAATTTTTGGAATTTAAGTTGAGGTTAGGTGCACCAAAAATTTGGCTCTCTCGTGATATTTCTTCTATTGAGGAGATTTAGTGTGTTTCATACTTGGAATTTTTAGCATTTGAATCGGAGAAGAGGAAGAATAATTTTTCGATATTCTCGATTACGAAATGTGAAATTTTTGAAATTTAAGTTGAGGTTAGGTGCACTGAAAATTTGGCTCTTTCGGGGTATTTTCCTTTTTTTTTTTTTTATGAAGTAGATTTAGAGTGTTTCATAATGGGAATTTTTAGCATTTGAATGAAGGGAGAGGAAGAATGATTTTGAGATATTCTCGATTATGAAATGTGAAATTTTTGGAATTTAAGTTGAGGTTAGGTGCACCGAAAATTTGGCTCTCTCGTGGTATTTTTTTGTTCGAGGAAATTTGAAGCGTGGAGCATTTATATTTGAAGTGTTGAATATTTCAAATTCTGACATAATTCTATCTGAAATAATTTACTATCGGGAATATTGAACGTTGAATCTTCGTGAATTTTTATGACATAATTATCCGACACTTTTTCCTATTATGGAAAGAGGGATTCGGTGGGTATTGAAAGTAAAATTGGAGAAACTTGGAGCAACTTGGACAAGAAAGCGCTTCATACATAGTAAGCGAACCGGTTGCTTTCTTCCTACCGATTAAAGCACCGGTGATAAATCATTTCGCAACAAGGTCGCTGCTTCTAGCATATTAATATAGCCGCAAGGGAGAGCAAATAACCGATGGATATTCGATGAAAACGAAATATAAATGGAACAACGAAAGTACAGAAAAATCCGTGAAGTTTACTTAAAATCCATAGAATAAACGCAACGTGTCTTCGATTATTCAGCATATTTATAATAAACGATAGAACGTGATAACGAATCAAAGAAGAAGAAAAAACTAGTAAACTTACATATTTCATTTACATAACGTCCCATCAACCAACAAGCATTTACATAAAATATCTGAAAAAGAAAAAAAATTTCGCATAATAATCTAACCTAACCTAAAACTTCATCTTACTGA